AATGTTACTAAGGTTTTTTTTATGTGCCCTTTAAGACTAACTTGGTATTAAGTAACATAACTTAGTATTGGGTAACCAGTGGTGTAATGTAACAAAGTAATAATACTTCATTACAGTACTTATGTCTTTTTTGGGGGTATCTGTACTTTACTTGAGTTTTTATATTTCAGCCAACTTTTACTTTTACTCTGATACATTTCCCCAAAGCATATTCGTTACTTACTACAAAATAGTCAGAAGAACACGGACTGTAGAGAAGCAGGTTTGACGAATCGGTGGTCTGGCGTTTGCAAGTTAGACTCCTAAAAACACCTTTGGTCATCTGCAAACAAGTGCGCGCACAACCGCGGACGATTCATTTTCCACTCAAGTCAAGTCTGGGGTGTGCGATACAGCATCGTCTGCGATAATATGGTAAGTGTTGTTGTAATGATGTGCGATCTGACATTATCAAGTAGGCTATATCACCAAATCACACACACAGAGTGCACGCACATGATTTATTAGTCTATTAAAACTCAAAGATCCAGGCATTCTAAATTGTAGACGGCAAAAATGCTATGCTCTTAGTCTTGAACGGTCAGAGTCTTTGAGTTTTAGCAAAAGTACTGATCTATTTTGCTGCTCACCGGGTTTCTGCTTATTTTTAAAACTACCGCGCCATCCGCAGCTCTTAATGGTGCTTTAGTGTCTTTATAGAGGAGCAATGCACACAGGACGAGTTTGAATGAAGCCTGTTTGGCTCGAGATTAAAATACTACTAGAGGATATAATGCCGAAAGATCATTACAATAAATGACCCCGAGTGCTCGTGGTGTGAACTGCTCCATTGTTTTGACAAGCTGCTCACTTTATTTAGAAATGGTAAAATGGTGCTGCCGTTACCATTATGTCTCGTGGTCTGGTTGGAACCAAGCCGAGGTCCAGAACCAGACCACAGTCCATCATTTGAATATGCCTGTCTTAGAGCCAATCAGACCGTGATAATGTGATCAGAACTGAACCAACCAAGAATCAGAATTTCAGAAGACCCCAACATAAACATGCAGGACGGTAAAATCAGGGATCCTGGCACAAGCAAGTCTGAAGCGAACTAACTCCTCACAGCTTTAAAGCAGAGGACGCTTGTATGAGATGGTCCAAACGTAGTCAACTTTAGGAAGTTAGCCTGAGACAAATGGTCAAAAAGACAACACATTGAGACTCATGTAAGGCCTCTGCGAATAATCGCAAAAATTAACGATTGAATCTCCGCATTCCACCGGAAAAACTAAGCACTCTCTTATCCAGCTATCTGCAGTCGTAAAGAAGATCAATGATCAACAAGGCACCTAATTGTCTGGACCTGCTTCCAGTCAAGGCCTGGTCCTTACCCCTTAGGGGATCTGAACTGCTTAAACCTTAACTCAAACTAGGATACAAGCTATCTTTTTTTACGGGCTTTCAGGGACCATATGGGCAGTTTAACGTTGACCTGCTTCAGCATAAATAAACCAGCTAATAAACAACAGAACAAAGAACATGGTATCTGGAAATGTTCCAGCAACAGACTCACCTGGACCCCATGACCGTTTAACGCATAAATTGCTAAATCCGATAAACAGAAAGCGACAGATTAAGAGTTCCCTGTCCAGGAGAAGAATGGCAGACACACAACTCGTGACATGGGCATGACCTCAGGACACCTCCCCTTTCCCCCCGTTGCATTCCAAAAAAGGGACGCATCCTTTTACTACTTTCAGAAAGCGCGCGTTTCTCCTGTCACAGACAAAGAAACAGAACTTACACAGACAATTCATAAGACAATCATTGAAAATCATTTAAAGTATCGGAGCAATATACTCCCAAATAATATGCTTTCTGCTTGATGTGTATTGAAACCATGATATCTTAATCTTTGCCTTATAACTTTTCCTTTTAGTTATTACGATTACTGAGTATGCAAAATACCTGTTGTTTGAGCTTGAATGAAAGCTTATTTTATGTGAGAAACTTTGGTATGAGTGAGAAGTATGTACAATACTCGCATTAGGAAACTTTATAAAAGTATCAACCAAATCTTCGCAAAGATTTTTCTCCACATAATAAATTGGAGCCTCTTGTTAATGTATGCACGCTCTGCCTTGCAAGAAGTCGATTGGTAGATTGTGCCGTGGGACGGACGTATGCCATGGATCAAAACCCCACTGCAACACAGATTCAATTGCTTCTCGCGGTTTACTCTCTCGAGTGAAGGCTCTTCGCCACTTGCTTTCCCGAGCAAGGCTTTGTCGTCGTGTGGAGAGCACTCTAACTTGTGCTCACAAGCTGAACCATCAGGCGATCGACCATCTAGAACTCAACTACTCCGTTGAAGCTTCGTAACTCTGCAGAACACAAAGTCTTGCTAAAGCAGACTCTCTCAGAAGAACTTCGAGGCTCCTCCGTAACCCGGCAACCAACCAATCCAACGAGGGTTCTCCCAAAAGGACGTCATCCAAACGTCATTCAGGCACCAGATCAACAGCCAATCAGCAAAGGAATTCCCTCCAGCAGCCACGAGGAAAAACTAAGCTTTTCAGCGGTCACCCAAAAACGCAAGTACAAACAAGGTCTCCTATCCGCTGAAATAGGTGCCGAACCATGTAAGCAGTAAACGTAAGACAAACCTCTACTTTGTGATTTTCTCAGGTCGCAAGTAAGAGAACTGTAGTTTTCCTCAGAACTCCATTAACATCATCTTCATTCTTCAGAGACTGTATGTATGTGTGTGTGTGTGTATGTGTGTTTTAGCTTAGGTCAATGTAATTTAGAATAGCCAATAAATTCATGTTTCATTTATAAAGAATCGTTGTCTGGTGTCATATAATTTTAAAGTCAAACCTTGCCAAGATCACGTTACCTCGCTAGGAGCTTACAAATTATCATAATTGTATTGACCTGCGGTCAAGGAAAATACACACAGTCAGATTAAGATACATGGACATTAACGTCTCGCTGGACGACCGTTGATAAGGTGTAAACTATTAAAATTTGAAATCAGTTCTAATCAGGTGGACTTCGAATTTTCAGATTCGAGTCCTTTCAAAACCTGAATGAATGAACAATAATTAATTCCCTAAGAAACGTAATCAGACATTACACTCACGAGGAAATCATTGAGACCAAATTGGTTGATTTCCCCCACCCAAGACAGAGAACTAAAACCAGACTCCCTCTTGAAACTTTTTGACCTTTTCCGCACAGGAGTGGATTACTCACCTCTCGGAAAAGGCACAGAGACTGCCTTAATATATAAAAATAAAAAAAATGCATGAGATCATTCCAATCCAAAGTGATGCTGAGAGGACTTGTAAACAAATATCATTCCATTGCATAAGTCTATGTCACGTCTGTAACAAACATGTATTCAACATGCTCTTATCCAAGATTATTAATGCAATTATGAATAACTATTGAATAGACTTGACTACTGTTGACCAATTTTGGTGAGAATCATACAAATCCTACAAACTTGGACGAGTATCTAAGTATCTGATTTTCAAAAAATACACAAAATCCAAAATATCGGACTTCTTTTTGGGTGGAGTTAGAGAAAATTTAGCAAATCATTCGGCAGAATTTTTTTTTTTAAGATACAAGCTCTGATTGGGGTATTCAAACTCTTGACATCTGGAAATCACAACCAGGGCTCCAGACTCATTCTTCCCACTGGTCGCTCTTTTGCGACTAACTTTCTCAGTTGGTCGCACGAGCACACGATTTGGTTGCAACTGTTTTTTTTTTTGCTACAACATGGGATTGATCAATGCATGCTGATGAAGTTTTATCATAGTTTATAGTTATATGGAAACGAAAGAGGTTAACATTCCACCTGTTCTTTTTCATTAGTAGTATTTGTGATTTGAATTGTGAACAGGAGTTCCTCTTGCTATGTTATAAGCCGTGGGATTCAGATGCTTTCGCTTTTGAATTTGCGATCTTGTCATGTTTTACAAGAAAAGACAATTGTCTGTTTTGCTTACATATATACCTTTCACTTTTTAAGACTAAAACAATAGATGGATCCATTGTTATTCTTAATTAAAAAGCACAACAATAAAACAGTAAAACAATGACAAACTAGCTTACAAAATGTTAACAACAATGAATAAGATGAGGCATGGCATACACCACATGCTGTATTATATACGGACTAATAAATTACAGAACGTTTAGCAAACACTGAGGAATCAAATAAATAAATAAAAGAAAGCCTCCATAGCATAACATGGTAAAAAGCAAAGATTACTTTACCATGAAAACCATCCATGGTTTCCTCAATATTCGAGCTTTTCAAAATGAAAACAAAAAGAAAAGTAAAACTAAACTTGCCTTTGGTGACAGTGCTTGCATGTTTTTTCCCCCACAAGAATACCAATATGTTCACCTTTGGTTTAAGGAGCAGTCCTTTACTTTACCATGAAAACCATCCATGGTTTCCTCAATATTCATGTCATTTTTGCTGTGCGCACCTTCGTGCTCCTGCTGACGCGGCGAGTATAAACCAGGCTCTACACTCGAAGCACTGCGCAGTTCAAATGAGTAGCGCAGTTTTGTATTGCTTTCAGTTTTGTTTGATGTTTCTCATATGCAACAGAAATGGCAGCGCTTATGAGGAGAACGTGGTGGTCGCGCCATTGAGACCGCACACAAAATTTAGTCGCACAGGTAGAAAAAAATGGTCGCAGTCTGGAGCCCTGACAACCATGAAAGCTTGTGGAGGCTTGTTACCATAGTATTCACATAGTATCAAATATGCATATGGAAATCATGTAGACCTGGTTATGCACAGTAAAACTATACTAGATATACTAAGCTCCATGGTATATCTGGTTATTCTTCAAGGAGTATATAAATATAGTATTTATAGTTTTATAAATAATAATGACGTAAATCTGCTTTTTGTTGGTATATACACAGCTAGCATAAAATACAAAAATAAAACGCAAAGTTTTATACATGATGCCTCTTTCCCTTACCATTCTTTCAAAAGGGTCATCTGTGTGGTTGGCAATATCCAGGAGTTCAGAATATTCCAGCTCTTCACTGACACGCTGTAATAAACTAAGCGGTTCATTGAGAGCCACTGGCATGGAGACCCGTGACAAATCCTTCCCAATGTTGTTGTACAGGATAGTGAGGATTCCGATATGGCTGTTATCAGTGCTGTGTGCAGGAAGCACTGTGCGTCGCCCACTGACCAGAGCATTAGAAGCTAAATCATTTGTGCTGGAAACACTGGCTCTGTACTTCATATTTGCAGCTTCTGAAAAATATGAATATGAAATACCATACCAATAAATGGGTGAATGTGCACAAAATTCTCTCTCTCTCTATATATATAGAAAGTATATATTTGGGATGCACCGAAATGAAAATTCTGGATGCACTTGGCTTTTGCAAACAGGAACAAGTATACTACACACAAATTTACTGTTGGCATACTCTTTGAGTGGACTTTACTTTTCCGGTGAGCATTAGCAGTACATGAGCGGAGCATCACACAGTGACGACAGTTAGAGGGAGAGTGAAAATGCCATTTTCGGCCAAATATTTTGGTGCATCCCTAATATTATATA